TCCTGAAATCACACAACACCTTAAGTATGGAAAACAAGAGATAAGTCAAACTCAACCAAGGGCTGAGACTAAGTTTGGATAGAGAGGGGGGGGGTCCTATAGTTGACAGGCAGAGTTTCCCCCACCATCCGGCCGACAGCCTGTCTCGGCTGCTGTTTGCTGATGCTCTGCTGTCCCTATCCTATGATATCCTATGTACAGTTCCATGGGTATTTATGCGGGTACCTGGTAGCTAAACTCCACCCACAAGTAAAATAGCCTAAGGCTCTTTACCTACCACACCTTAAATAGCGGCTTATTTGATGGGCCCAACCCAACCAGCCGTCTGCAATTATCAGCTTAGCAGAAGCAAGGTCAATTCACACGACCTGACATTGTCAACTTGTGGTCATTATCACTCTAGAGGTGTGAGCTTTTAATTGCTTGGGACAGACAACCTGACACCTCTCAAAATCCTGCCTGGCTGACTCATGTTGTACGTATATATTAAATACAAAACACCTTTACCATGTTACAATTGGATGCCATATTGAATTACCTATTCCCAGTTATGAGTCGAGAACAAACCCGACTATATTACTGGGACCCTACAGTAACCCCTAGAGCACACACACATTAGAGCAATCTTCGAATACACAGTATTCACATAGGAGCACACTTAGAATATATACAAGATAAAGCAACCTTGAAACACACACACACACTTACATTAGGGGCAAGCTTGGAACATATAAACACTAGAGAAACTAGATATGTGGTTCTTTCTGCATAGTAGTATGATATATGGAACAGCTTGTGTAGATTTCACTTGTTCTCAGGTCTATTATAAATTTTGTTGTATTTCTTAGAACTGATGCTGAATATAATCCCGGGTAAGACAGAGCTGATTGGACGCATTTCCTATCACCTAATGCACCTGTGCACCTAGCATTGAGTAGGTACCCAGGAGTTGGTCAGCTTGCTGTGGGGTTGCATCCTGGGGGGTCAGTAATTCGACCTTGTAGGGACGGGGCCCTCGATGTAAGACAAATGTCTATAAATGTATAACATGTAAGCCCAATGTGTATAAATAACATAAATTAAATACACTCTGGCTACCTGTCCTGAGACACAATGACTTATTATTATTAAATTATAATTGGGTCGCATTGTACAGTTGACTTCATTCTCGACTCATAATCAGGGTTCCCAGTTCGATTCCCGGGTGGGACTGAAAAGTTTGGGCATGTTTCCTTTCACCTAATGCATCTGTTCATCTAGCTGTTAATAGATACAGGTACCTGGGAATTAGGCAACTGTTATAAGGTTGCATCATGGGGAGGGTCAGTAGTTTGATCTTAGGGGGACCTTCATACAAGCCTGAAATATGCTATATAAATACATAGACTTTCTGTCCCTGACCAAATGATATATATTTATATTGCTGCCTTCCAGCTGCAAACATGCATCCAAGATTATAATAAATTCCACCCTCTTTTAAGGGTACAGTAATGTACAGTATATGGTTTGGTTAACTCATTAGTTCTATCGTACATTTGGAGTCCAATAGATTCTTGACAAAAAAATTTTGTTAAGGTTCAGTGATGACACTGATACTGCAGTAGGTAATCCAAATCATCTGAACACCACCGCCATTTGGGTTAAACTGAATTTCTTACAGGAAATAAGAATTTAGTAAGAATTGTCCAGAAATGGACAAATTAAAATTTTTTTGTTGAGAAAAATTGGTGGCAACAATGCATTGTTTCAAAAAGACTTGCTGTTTACTCAGTTACTTGAAGATGAATTCATTCAAGTTACTTGAAGATTTGGGCTACTGAGCTCTTACAGTAATATGTAATATTTTCAGTGTCATCTAAGTTTCGACTCTGGTCTTTATGCCATCTATGCTTGGACAGAAATACTACTAATTAGCTTATGTAATTGAATTATTAACTGACAGCATATGGCGATTAAGCTCAGTTGACTACTTCAACATTTCTGGACAAGAGAGGTGATACGAGGCAAGATTCTAACCTAAATCTAATACTTTGCCCGAAACACTATGCGTACTAGTGGCTTTAGGTATTGTTTGTACTAGTTCTATCTTTAAATCCAACATTATGTTTGTAACTCATCTTCAATGTATGTACCTTTACCTGAATAAAAAATCTAAATCTAAATCTAAATCTAAAGAAGGTAATGGCTTACAGATCAGTGTTTGGCGAGGCAACTGGATTGCATGCAGTTGGTAAATCTATGACAAGTTTTTAATTGTCTTGCATAGTTTGATATTTGATAAATCCATAAGCTTTATTTCATATACATACCAATGTTTTTATATCTATTATAATATCCCATTAACCCTTTAACTGCACAACACATCATATGATGTGTTCAGTGACTTGCAGTAACTTGCGCTCCACATCATATGATGTATTGGAGTACAGTACTACGCAAGATTTAAAGGCCCACGGATACATGGGGTTCACCACACCTTCATCAGGGCTCTTGTAAACAGACGCCATTTTTTTTTTAAATCGTGGACCAAATTCCCGGGTGTGAGGGGCCTCAGTATTGAGTGAGCTACCAAGCCTGACGCACGCAGCATGAGCTCACAGCACTGCTGTTCAGCTTGTGACCACAGCATCGCCTAAAAATGCCATAATATACATGTTCTTGCTATTATTTAGCGATGATATTATTACAGAAGACCCCTGACTGTGATAAAAATGACCAGGATACTGATAATAGCAGAATTGTTGTGATAATTAGCGCTGTAGTGGGAGGAGTAATCTAGGTGGGGAGGGAGGTAGCATTGTCTGCTGACTCTGTGTGACCACCTTTTACTGTCTGGTTAACACTTTGGCGTGCCCCGCGCGCCACCCCTCAACTGTGCGATTTGGGTCCCAGCGTTTCACGGGAGCGCGCGTTAATTCTGAAAAGTGTATACTCTCTTCAACTTTGTCACCTCAATTCTCGTCCTACGAGATTAAATTTGGTATCATTGTGTTCGCAATAGAATTCTCTACAGCACTAAATGCATATAAACTCCAAAAGCCCGGCTAATTACCCGCAGCAAACAGAGAAAGTGCGAACGAGTTACCCAGGAGCGCGCAAAAGCGATAAAATGTGTTCACTCTTTTCACTCTGGTCACCTCAATTTTCGTCCTAGGTCTTTCATTTTGGTATCAATGGGTTCGCAATAGAATTCTCTAGAGGAACATTAGCATATAAAATAAAAAACCTGGTCACGCTCCACCCGCCGACGAGTTGAAGACGGGCCACGCGTTAACCGCGAGTGAGCGCCCAGACGCCTTCCAGCTACACTCCCAATTCCTGCCCACAAATGTTTAGTATTTAGTATTTTAGTATATGTAGTATTATAGTTTAGTATTTTTTGTGTAGTAGTTGTACATCACATAAGCATTGTAGATAGCCATTTGCACAAAATAGATGGTCATTTTCTTCGTCCATTTGTGAGTTTTCCTTATGAAGTGATAATATTTGATCATTTGGTCAAAGTGATCAACACCTTTCATGTTTGTATTGTAGTCACAGATTGCATTCGGCTTGTTGACAGTTACCAAACAGTCCCCCAAAAATCGGATAAAAACCTGATTTTTGGCAATTATTTTAGTGGATGACGCAATGCTGCGTCATCCCCGAGATTACCGACAGTAAACGGATGACGCAATGCTGCGTCATGCCCGGACTAAAGTGTTAACGTTATGGTGAACACAAATGTAGATACTTATATATAACGTCTCCGTATATAGTAAAACGCAAAAACAGTATGGTGGGAGGAGAATGCGGGCGAGTGAGGTGTTGAGGGAGTTAGTGGCAGCAAATGGCTGGCTGGTGTGGCGGTCACTCCTCGTTGCTTTTTGACTCATAATAGCAACTTAGTGTTTCATTATGGTGAACAAAACATGCAGATACTTATATATAACCTGTGTATATAGTGTAATAACCAACAAAGTATTTGTTCACTGCTTGATGAACATAATAACTGAATCAACAATATGCACACCATATTTTTTAGTACAGCGATGATTTACTCGTTTTATTATATAAATATATCACACTACACACTATTGAATAATATTACAGCAAAAAACTATGTAAAATCAATCAGACATTGAAATAATTAGGTAATTATCTCTTTGTGGCCACTCCTGCTTGACAGATGGCGAGCAACAGACCGTCTGGGACGCACGCTGAGTCAGCGCCTGTTTTTTGCCAGAGTTCCCCACCCTATAGCGGGCAATATATGCCACTTATATTTTTTTATTATTTTTCCCATGATCAAAAAACACAAATTAACAGGTTTAGAAGAATTTTTTTTTTTTTTTTTGGTATGCGCCTGTGGGTGACAAATGCTAAATAGCCCGGAGCCACACAAGGGTTAATTTGTAGTCTTGATGCTGTCTCGTGCATTTGAGATGCATTTCATGTCAATGTTCTATTGTACTTTGTGTTATTATGATACTGTCCTAATGTTGCCCATATTACTATTAGAAATAATGCAGATGTTTTTCTCTAATTCTGAATTAATATATTTGTTGCAATCATGCAAGTTTATAATTAATGATTACAGTTATACCTGGTATGATTTGTCTGAAGTTTGCACTTACAGTATATAGAGATTATGTATGTCAAAGTTAGGTCTAAGATCTGTCATCTATAGGCTCTGATCAAACTTTGTATCTAAGGGAGCCGGTCGGCCGAGCGGACAGCACGCTGGACTTGTGATCCTGTGGTCCCGGGTTTGATCCCGGGCGCCGGCGAGAAACAATGGGCAGAGTTTCTTTCACCCTATGCCCCTGTTACCTAGCAGTAAAATAGGTACCTGGGTGTTAGTCAGCTGTCACGGGCTGCTTCCTAGGGGTGGAGGCCTGGTCGAGTACCGGGCCACGGGGACACTAAAAAGCCCCGAAATCATCTAAAGATAACCTCAAGATAGATGGCTATGATATCGCACATCAGTCTATACATGCAGAGGGAATTAATATGCACTGTGACAAACAACACTATATATTATGATGCATTAAGTGTGGACTATGATGCTGACAAACAAGTCATTGGGAGGGAAACTTCATATAATTACAGTACTATTATTATAATAATTTATATTATTAAAATAATTATAATAATAATAATAACACTTATATAAATTACAAAACATTTATAACTAAAACTCACAACAAATCTTCCCCAAACATAATACTAGAAAATATGAATTTCCAATTAGGTGAAGGTCTGTGGGGGAAAACTTGGGCATGAGCATGTAGTAGCACCTCACTCAGAGCAGTTGGCCAGGTGTGGAGCTGCACAACCAGTGGTGCAGTCACCGCCTCCTTACACTCTTTACCAACCTCTTCACCAGCAACAGTTGAGAAGAATATGTCACCTGGAAAATTAATGTTAAAAGAAGTAGTAGTATTAACGTACTATTGCAATAAATGTTCATGAGTGCAATAGCAACTCGTTCCAAGGTAATTTAACTTACAGCCGTCACCTTGACCAATGATACTCTAATTACAAAACCAGCTAAAAACTAAAGACAAGCTGCCTACCTTTAATTCTGTTGGAATTTGTGATGTTAAGCAGGAACAAGTAGAGTGGGTTGATATTCAACAGCCAGATAGTAAAAGCCATCATCCCTCTCATTAGGTTTAGTCCCACCCTCAACTGAAAAATATATTTAACAGTGTAATTAAAACATTTAATTTTAATGCAATCAGTTTATATGGTGAGACTAGACCCACTACAGGCTAGCTCTTGTTGTTATCTCACCTCTTTAAGATGCCATATTTTACACATTTGTCAACATAAAATATACTGGATACACTCAACCATATTACAATGTAAAATTTCATTTCTAATCCTTACACAGTAATATACCACATTCTTCATTCCAATGCCTCTTCATCAACAATACACACAAATGAGATATCTATAACTACACTATCAAAATCTTCCACGAAGTCATATTTTTTGGGGGCTTGTGATTACTATTGTTGAATAATGAATACAGTAAAAGTAATCAGTTTTTAAGGAATATGTAATATGACCCCACACTAATAAAGAGCAGCTGAAGCTCGGTAATAAACGCTTCAAAAGGTGTTTGGGGAAAAGTGAAATCAACTTTGTCTTAAGAACAAATTTGGTGAAGACAAGTTCATGTAATTTTAAAAGTGACATACAAGAGGCTCTTTAAGCTTACCAGAACAAATACCATGTAGTAGATTGTAGTGGTTGGCAGGAGGAATATAACAAGTGTAAAAACTACAGCAGTTAGGACCCTGGTCAGCGACACATGGCCTCCTATATCGTAACTGTCCACTCGCTGCTTTAGTGGGTTCCATTTTCGACCACGAAATGCACGCCACTGAGAGCCCAAAAGTGAAATTTGTAACATGTGGATCCTGTTGAAATTGACAATATGGAACAAAAAACTTGACAATTCCTACCTTGTAATTAAGCACAACACACAATCCATACAATTGAAGTTCAGAATGATATATGTTACAGGTAAAGAGAAGAGGGACAGAGGGAGAGAGAGAACAGATGAAATAAATGAAGAAGATATGTGATATTAAATTACAGTAATTCTAAATAAGTCACCCATACATTTACCTTCCAGTATCTCAGGTGAGCACCAGACAATAAATTCTCTGGTCATCAGAAGGTGTACTCATTTTTTAGTAAATATTATGGTGCATAGTGGGTGAACTTACTCAACTGAGTACAGTACGGTACTGAACAGTACGAAGAATGAGTGTGCATGTCAGTACTGTACACACTCGATCCATATGCTAATTTATCTTTGTAGCCCACCACTTTCAGATTCAGTGACAGAATTAATTAACAAGGGTGCTTAACAAGGGCTTAACAAGGGTGATATAACTAGAGGTTCCAAGAATATCATTCGAGATTTGAACTTGAAATGATGGACTCAAGCTGAATAAGTTTAAATTTATAAAGTAATACGCAAACATCACTTCAAAAGTAGGATTGCAGATCATCATAAAAGCAAGCACACCAGAAATTTTCAAGCATCAGTTAGATAAGTATGTAAATACAAGTGGTTCACATGGGCCAGTAGACCTGGTGCAGATTCCTTATTTCACTTCCTCTTATAAGGCCATCACTATCAAAGGAGTAGAATGTCAAGTATATGTGGGTATAAGGGAAACATGAACAGGAAATAATTTTGTTATATAAAATAGAACAGAAAGCATTGTTCTATTGAACAGCACAGCAACATAATAGGAAAATATTACAGTAATTTATTTTTCAATCAAAATCAATAACTATACCTTGCACCATACACGTAGAAACAGTAGAGATGCAGTGTGGCGAGATCAAAAAGATCTGATAGAATGGCCACTTGAACTGATGCTCCACACATCCCCAACCAAACAAGTACCCACGCTAAACCTCTTAATAATGGATCTGCCAGTTCTGTAAAGCAATTCAAAGAAAAATAGCATGAATGTATGCAAAATGTATGAAACATAATTTACTTATGGGTGAATTTCATAAGGTTTTAGAGGAACTGTGTTGTTGAACTCCTACCACAAGAAATATTAATTGTGTCCATATGCTAAAATACTTGGTGCACGTGAAGCAACAGGTGAGATGCCGAGTGTTTTCCTTTAATATGTGCTGTACTATTCCCTTTTATAAATCCTACTCACACCTGCTGCCAATAGTTGATGTGGTCGGCACTGCCACCCCTTCATCTTTAGAGTAAAGTTGCCAATATCCGGATAGTCACCAGTTATTAGACATCAGTGCCCCCCCCAAAAAAAAAGTATAACACCTGCATCATACAAGTGTTTCTACATCACTTTCAATGTACATGTGAATATGTAAGTCCATTACGTGTAACGAGAGAATGAATGTCTCCCTCATTCTATCTAAAATTTTCCCAAGTTGGACACCCTGGGGAGGGGGGGGGGTAATGTCAAGGTGTCTACCCGCCAACATAATCTGAGTAGAGATTGTCTTAATTGCTCAAGATACCTGGAAAGGAGTTGCAAAATGATTTGCAACAAATTGTACATAAGTGTACAATTCTTAATACATTTTTCTTAACCTTAATTTAATAAATTGAAAACTTAAAGATTTGGATATAATGACATGATGGCTACAATGTATAGAATGTTATTTTTCAACAAATAAGGTCTTGAAGAAACTACTGACAAAAAATACAGTTCAGTATTTCTAGGTTTGAAATATGTTAAGTTTTAATTTGAAATATCCTGGTATAACCAATTTGAAATATTGCCCAGTTGATTAGCACTTTATTCATTTAAACTGTAGTTATCTTACCAAGATATAATCTCCAGAGATGAACATGGTAAGAAAAAAATGCAGACAGGGCCTGTGTAAGAGGTTGGTTCAGTTTAAGCCCAGCCGGCACACCGCTCAGCCACTCTAGCAGACGATGAACGATGCTAGCCAACATCTGCCCAGTAATATAGAATTTAAAAGCTTTTTTTTTTTAAAGCTAAAATTTATATAGCTTTTTCAGATATCTAACCAAATCTTTTAATCAAAATAGAATTACCTGAATAATTTGTATTCAATAAATTTTGAAAATACTGTAATAGGAACTGGCTCTGTATGCAGTAATACATTTAATTATTATAATTTATAGCATTTTAACCCATTATTCTTAATTAACATATAAAAGAGATAGCCAGTTAGGCTTATCAAGATCCCTTTAGGCTTTTCCCAGGTTGCAACTCACAACAGTTTTATAACTCCCGGGTAGCCAGGAGAACACTGGCATATTATGAAAGGAAATGTTGCCTAAATATTGTATCCTACCATGTGAATTGTTCCCGGGACCTTTCAGCTGTGACTTGACTGAGCTTACCACTATGGTTTGGATTATGGAAGTTCCTATGTATGTGAATTAAAAATATCTTGTAGCACTAAGAGAAGTCATTTTATATAATTTAGTTTGTAATGAAACATTACGGTATATAAATGGTAGTTGAAAACATGTTAAAAGATCACAATACAGTACTGTATATACAAAGTTAGATTATGTTAATTTCAAATACTGTACATACCTTTGTCCAACTACAAAAGTAAGTGTATATGTCATTTACTGATGCATAATTGCTGATAATTGAAGCTCCAGCAATTCCAATCAGTATATCCACCATGATCATTGTCAGCAGCCGACCCGAGAGCAATGTTCTCTTCTTCACCTGCAATTCTTGATGTAGCTTCTCAAGTTGAGAAATCCGAAGCAGCAGTTGCTGCAGGGCACTGCTTGAATAATCAAACCTCATGACTAATACTGAATGAAGGTTTTCAAGAATAAACTTTGGAATCCACAATAAAATAAGGAATAACTTAATCATTAATCTTATTAATCTGATACAACTGTCTTTCAGTTTTGATGCCGCTCTCTCTTGATAAGCTTCTTGAACACAGTGCACAAAATATGGGACAATGTCATTTGTATGATCCTTATCTTTCTCAAACAAAAACTTTTTACAGACAATCTCTGATTCACATACTTCCTGGGCATCATAAAGAACAAGATTTAGTTCACTCCGAGAAACATTTTTCTCCTGTATTCTCACGGATCGTAGCATAAGGTATGGCTTTGTTTGCAGCTCAACCCACAAGTTTTTCCTAGATCCTCGGGTTTGAGATCTCTTTTTATTGTTAATGCAGCCAACACATGATGAACGTTGTAAGTCTGCAAATGTAACAACCACAACATGTGATGCCCTCTCACCATTTGTACAACCTGGAAAATAATAAAAATATCTGATATCCAGAGAAAATAATAAATGTTTAAATCTTAATCTTGAACATACTGTATATCTCTTAAAATACTGAGGTTGTCCCAGGGTCGTACTACTGACCCTCTCCAGGATGCAACTTCACAACAATTAGGTAACTTCTGGGTATATACTGTATATACTGCTAAGTGAAGAGAGGCATTAGATGAAAGCAATAATGGCCAACATTAATCTCAATAACTAAGAATCAACAGTAGTGTGTAAAACTCACATGGTGTGGAAGTATAATTTCCACATAAATAACCACTCTGGCGTCCCTGAAGCTGAATGGGCACAAGGACTGTCACGGTGGCATAGCCCAACATCTTTCTCTGAAAAAGGCAAAACAATATCTGTGCAACATATTAACATTTTCATAATTTAAGTACTGTTCTGTACTATAATACATAAATTACCTTGAGAGTTGTATCTTATGTCACACCTCTGCTGCAGCTACAGATTTCATTCCATATTTACTGCTACTGTAGATGTTTTGTGCAAATGTTATTCTAGTTTATACAATTTTCCTTAAATATAGTAAACCAAATAGCTTTCCTCTAATACAGTAGGCAAAGACTGGTCCCAGTTTAGCATAGAGGCTTTGACCAGCACTTAATACCTATGCAGACAAATACTCCAACACTGCCAAAAACAGACATTAACAAGGTCCTATCAGATTCATAGAACACTTAGAAATCCTTTAGGTCTCTTGAAAAATTTCACAATTAATGCACCACAGTTGTTCCCAAGAGACTCAATGATTTATTATAACCTTAATTGATTTGATCTACACAGCATTCAAATAAATTAATATACATAAATATATTATCATTAACCTTGTTTTCCATTTTTATTGAACAGGTTGGTATTAGCCCTGAGAAGAAAATAGTGTCAAGTGTAATGAAAGACCTCTTTGTACCTTGATTGTACCCAGATGGGGTTATGGGAGTTTTACTTGTGATTCGTGAGAGTTTGGTCCAACAGGCAACCTGATACACCCTTCCTGATGCCAATTTCACCTAGCTTTAAATAGACACCCAGAGAAAGGTCAGTCATTGGCCTAAGTGGACTTTGATGAGCCTAACAGGCTTCCTGTTTCCAACAATGGGAAGCAAAAACCAACCTACAGAGGATAATAGGGCAATGTGCGTTTTGGATTCAGGCCCATGGAGGTGTTTCACAATTTGAATATGATGTAATGAAAGCAACACAACAATTTACATGAATTTACCTGAAGGCCACCATCTTTAGTGGCCTTAATGGCAGCAAGATGCCAGCAGCTTGTCAAAGGTCCCTCCCATTGTTCCTGAGAATTTTATCCAGCTGAATATTAAACAGAGGTACTGTAATGTCTTGGCAGCTACAACTTGGAAGATATGCACAATGTATTTGTCCCAAAAATAGTGCAATGAAGAGCTAGTAGTAGTGTGATATGAACAAGATATTTCATATCAAAGATTGCTTGCAAACAAATTTTAACCACAACAAACTAACTTTGCCTAACACAGGTAGCCTAATTTGCCTGAATTTACCCTAGAGCCACCATCACTCCTGTGGGCTCAATGGAGGCAGGAAGTCTGCAGCTTGTCAAAGTGTTCCCATTGTTTCTGAGGACATTTTCCAACTGGATTTTGAACAAAAATATTGTCTTAACATTTATAGCTTCAGTGGGTTGGCAGTTCCATGGGTTTATAACCTTATACTGTAGGTGAAAAGAGCATTTGTTTTCTGTGGCTACATTTGCCCTTTCTAAGAAGTGGTCTGGATTAATATCCTCCAACTTGTTCAATATTTTAAAGGTCTCGATGAGATCAGCCATGTTATGTCTGGTTTGTAGTATTAGTCCTGTGACCCTCGACCATTCCTGGTAAGAGTTTACTTAGTTCTTTGTTGCTGTGTTGAACTTTTTCCAAAGCAGATTGTCTTTCCCAAGGTGAGGTCTCCATGCTTGAATACAGTAGGAAAAATGGGTTGTCCTTTGACAAGCTGCTGGCTTCCTGTTCTTGTCCTTGATATATGGTGGCCCTCAGGTAAGTTCAGGTATAATGAGATAACTATTTCTAATTATAAAGTGTTTGTCTATAATTATTTGATTGGGTCAAGTTAAAAGGATTGTTTTGGACCTTACTGGAAGGAACTGACCTTGGTCTCTACAGTGTGAAGATCAGCAGTTCAGTCAGTAAACATACTTACAAACAAAACAAAATACAAATATTTATTCAGGTAAAGTACATACATACAAGGTGAGATACAAAAGTTGATGGATTTATAGATAGGGCTAGTACATACAATGCCTAAAGCCACTATTACGCAAAGTGTTTCGGGCAGGAAAAACACTAAGACTAAAACTTAATACTAATTGAGATTAAAGTATAAATTGTGTTGAGAAAAAATAAGAAAAACAAATGAAAAAAGGGGGGGGGGAACATGGCAGAAAAAAAGCAAAAATACAATTTGGTCAACAAACAGCATTGTTTAAAATCGTAGACATGGGTTGACATTTAGGGGTGAGGTAGGTTACATTGAGTTAATTAGGTTTAGTTTTTTATCTTAAACTGGTTGGGAGAGGTACAGTCTTTAATATAATTGGGAAGGTCATTCCACATTCGAGGTCCCTTGATTTGCAAAGCATTTCTTCTAGTTTGACTAAGTCGTACTCTTGGAATATCAAATAGGTATTTGTTTCTGGTGTGGTGTTCATGGAATCTGTTACAACCTTCTAGGAAGCTTTTAAGGTCAGGATTGACATTACAGTTCAGCATTTTATATATATATAATACACATGAGAGGATGTGCAATGACTTAATATCTAACATATTCAGAGATTTGAGTAAGGATACTGAGTGATGTCTGGGGCCAGAGTTAGATATTGTCCTAATAGCAGCTTTGTGTTGAGTAATTAGAGGACGTAAATGATTTTGGGTAGTAGAACCCCAAGCACAAATACCATAGTTGAGATAAGGATAGATGAGGGAGTAATAGAGTGTCACCAGGGCAGGGTGAGGTACATAATATCTGATCTTAGAAAGAATGCCAACAGTTTATGAAACTTTTTTTGATATATTTAGAATGTGTCCCTGGAAATTCAGCTTGCTGTCAATGAGAATGCCAAGGAATTTGCCATCTACTTTGTTACAAAGTAGATGGCAAATTACAAACAAACTGTAACTTTGTTACAAACTACTTTGTCACTTGGTGGATACACTTGCTTGAAATGCCTTAAACAGCATGGATTATATGACTTTTGTCATATTATGATAATTATTCATGTTATGATGGTGTTGGTGGGCCTGATCTAAAACAGAGGCTCATCTACAAGTGTTGTTGATTTAGGACCGTAAAGGGTTAATCACGAAGCCAAATGACGAAATGAACGTCGCTTATCAGCGGAAACTAATGTGCCTCGTGACCAATAAACGCACAGACGGCCAGATGATGGGTTGAAGCTCCAAGAATCCTTGAGGGTGACAAGCACCGGGCCCGCCCCCACACAGAACACTGGGCAGCAAAACCCAAAACTCAGCCCGTGGTAGGGCTGGGTTGTTGTTGTTATCGGGTTACGGGCAGCTATAGCACAAGGCCGCATGTAATAATAATAATAATAATAATAATAATAATAATAATAATAATTTTTATTTAGGTAAGGTACATACATAAAGAGATTTTACAAAGTTTGTTGGCTTTATAGATAGAGCTAGTACATACAATGCCTAAAGCCACTATTACGCAAAGCGTTTCGGGCAGGAAAAACATTAATGACTAAAGCTTAAAACTAATGGGTAAAAAGAATAAAATGTTAATAAAGAGAATAAATAATAAAAGAATAAATAATAAAAGAATAGAATGTTGATGTTGGTGTAGGGGCTACGACGATCAAGGGATCGGACCGCTGCCCGACATACCACCTTTCTTATCCTGTACACTGAAAAGTCATATACCACCTTCCTGGTGGTATATACCATCGGGAAAATAATATTTTAGATTTCACATGCCCGAAACGCTTTGCGTAATAGTTAGTAAGCTTTTCATTTTATAGATTGCATAATATCTTTTTGACTTTTTTGGTCATCTTTTTTTGGTTTCATTCTACTCATTATGCTCAATTAGTATTAAGCTTGTCATTCAAGTTTATCATGCCCGAAACGCTTTGCGTAATAGTGGCTTTAGGCATTGTATGTACTAGCTCTACCTATAAGACATAAACAACTACAGACCAATATCGAATCTACCCATACTATCAAAAATATTTGAAAAAATTATCTACAAACAGCTCTACTCCTATCTCGTAAAATTCGACATTCTTAGCCCCTGTCAGTTTGGCTTCCGCTCTCAAAAGAGTACCAACGATGCAATTATTAGTCTCCTTGATATAATTTACTCTGCCCTTGACAAAAATGAGTTTCCAATTGGACTCTTCATTGACCTGAGAAAGGCCTTTGATACTGTTAATCACGATTACCTCTTATGTAAACTCCATCATTATGGAATCCGAGGCCATGCACTGGACTATATCCAATCCTATCTTAGTGATAGACACCAATGTGTAGCCATCAATAATATAATATCTCCCATTCTACCAATAACCGTTGGAGTGCCACAGGGCAGCATCTTGGGACCCCTACTATTTCTTATATACATTAATGATCTGCCTAATGTCTCTAACATTCTGAAACCTATTTTGTTTGCTGATGATACTACCCTCATTTAGCTCCAACCCCAACCCACATGCACTAAATGATGTTGTTAATAATGAACTAAGAAAAGTCCACTTATGGATGTCAACCAACAAACTAACACTTAACATAGAAAAGACCTACTACATCCTATTTGGAAGCAAATCTACAAATGCAATTCAGCTTCAGATTGACAATATAAACATTAGCAATAAAAATGATGAAAAGTTTCTTGGCATATTCCTAGACAAGAGACTCAACTTCAGTACCCACATACAACACATAACTAAGAAAGTCTCTAAAACAGTTGGTATACTCTCCAAAATCAGATATTATGTTTTTTTTTTTTGAGATATATACAAGAGTTGTTACATTCTTGTATGTTCCTAACTCTGCTCTCATATCTCTATATTATGCACTAATCTATCCCTATCTCAACTATGGTATCTGTGCATGGGGTTCAACCACTGCAAACCACCTCAAGTCCATCATCACCCAGCAAAAATCTGCTATCAGAATAATATCAAATTCTGCTTTCAGACAACACACAGCCCCCTTGTTTAACTCCCTAAACATGCTAAACATAATCTCACTCCACAAATTCTCCTGTGTCAACTACATTTACAAAACCCTGTTCTTAAATGCAAATCCTTGTCTGAAACTCTTCCTGGACAGATGTAATAGGACCCATTATCACCACACCAGAAATAAATATCTCTTCGATATCCCCAGAGTTAAACTTAATCTGTGTAAACACTATGCAAATAAAGGGACCCAGTTTATGGAACTCACTCCCTACTGAATTGAAAAGCTGTCCAACTTTTACATCATTCAAAATCAATACTAAAAAGTACCTAATTTCATCTTCATAGTTTTTCACTTTTTGCCTTAAAATTGCACTGTATCTATTGCTACCCAATCTCCCAACCTTTATGTTCCCAATTTGAACATCTTTACCATTGAGATCATTGCTGTTTTCTTATATGTGCTGCCAATCTGTTGTATGGTGTTTATAAATCTTGTTATCTGTATCTTTTGCTACCCAGTCTCCCAATCTTTATGTACCCATTCTGAACATCTTTACCATTGTGATCATTGCTGTCTTATATGTGCTATCAATCTGCTGTATAGTGTCTATTAATCTTGTTTAAATTACTAATCAAGCTGTCAATGTAATCAATCAGAGCTTTAATATAACAATGTGCTTTAATATACTTACTTATCTCTCTCATCTCATTTTTCTCTTGTAATGTATCTTTATCATTTATCAATTCTGATTGAAATTACCTACTTAAAATTATCTGCTAGATTAAGGACCCGAAACGCTGCGCGTACTAGTGGCTTTACAAAAATGTAAATACTGTACTATCCAATGTATTCTCACAAACCCAATGTACCTTCTTGTATATATATAAATAAATAAATAAATAAATAAATAAATAAATAAATAAACATTTATTTATTATTATTATTTATTTATTACACTACTTCGATATCTAAGTAATTCCGCGTTACTACAAATTTGTTTAACGTATTACTCAAGCCTCCGTGGCACAATTGGTTAGCGCGTTCGGCTGTTAACCGAAAGGTTGGTGGTTCGAGCCCACCCGGGGGCGATTGTTTAGGCAAACTCTAGGGGTTCACCTCAGACAAGTTCAACATAACACTCTTTACACCAAGTGTGCCAGGATCCAGCCCGTCCTCCTCAAGTTCCCTAACATCAAGAAACTGTTGTACTTAAGTGACCTTATCCTAACAACAGAGAAAGGGACAGTATATCAATTTCGCGACCTCATCCTTCTGTCTAGATAATTTAGTTCATTTATTATGCACCCCATACCCATCTTGTGGGCGGTAGTGGAAAGAGTTACACATAATGGGCTCAGGGACTGAACCTCACAATTCATTTAGCTAAGGAAGTTACAATCTTGATGAGCTAGTTACAAAATTCAATATAAGTCGTCACATCAACAATGGGTTCGAGATCGACCACAAGTACAGTTTCTAAATTAAGCAACTGACATATGTGGAGAGCTAGTGTCACAATTGATATGTTTGTCCTGCACACCGCCCCCCATCCAGTGGGCAGCGGTGGATAGGTTACAATCACTCAGTTACTACCTACAGTTAGCAAACTGGGGATATTTGGCTAAAATTTCTGGTAGCAGATAATTTTGAATGAAATATTTACACATCGCTGGAACATTGGTTATAGAATTGTCTCTAAATTCACGTATCTTTTCGCACTCCATCACATAGTGACGGAGGGTGTGCGAATAATTTTGTTGGCACAGTTTACATTTGGTCAGGTCTATATCAGCAGATAATGAGAATTCCCAGAGATACTGTACTTGTAACCGAGTCTAAGCCGAGCAGTAGTAACATCTAGAAGTCTGCTGATTTTATTGGATGAACCATAGATGTGTGACTCCTCTTGCATGATAGTATGATGATAGATGGAATTACTGGTGTCAATTTCACTTTGCTTCAGATCTACAAGATCTTGTTGAAGTTCTCGGTGTACTATTGCTCTCAGACTGCTTATTGACAATCCAAGGTTACACTCAACGGCTCCTTTAAAGGCAGATTCTTTGGCTAACTTATCAGCTCTATCATGCATTCGGAGGCCAACATGAGATGGAGACCACATGAAATGGACTCTGTTACCATCCTTAATAATTTTGTTGTATTTGTGTCTAGCTTCGGACACTAGCATGTTAGTTATGTCTTAAAGAGTTGAGAGCATTTAAGGATGATAAGGAGTCACTTACAATTAATGTATCAAGTTTGGAGACTTGTACACATTTCAGTGCAAGGATCAAGAGAAATAGTTCGGTCTGAAGGGTAGAGGCCCAGTTGTTTATACGGACTCCCCACTCAAAATATAAGCCATCGCCCATTGTCAGGACAACTGCACTTCCAGCTGCACCCGTGGTGCGGTGTAGGGAACCATCAGTGTATATGATTTGAGAGAGAGAATGCTCTGTGGACAGAGCATCAATATGGCTTAAGGCGTTGAGCTTTGCCTCAGGACGAAGCTTGGGCTGATCTCTAATTTGCTTCTTGGGTGGAAAGGGAGAAATTAAAACTGGAAAGGGTGTAACCTCCCACGGTGCAGGAAAGTGCCGTTGTTGTTTCTCTTGGTACAAATCATGAACCTGATACATTCTGAGTTGAGTTCCAGTTTTTGTTATCCACTTGGAACAATGCTGATCTTCAATAAAGAAATTCTGGAGGGCTTCTGTGCAAGGATTAGGATGAGTTAGCCTAAGCATTTTTATACCAATTTGACAGTTAATTTCAGTAACACGATCAACAACGCTCGGAATATTAAGTTCCTTTCTCATATTAAGTATCTTTGTGGTACGAGGGCACCCAAGGATTATCCTCAAGGCTTCGTTCTGCAATTTTTCAAGCCCTCCAAGCTTTCCTTCAGGCATCAAAACAAGCAGAGATGCAGCATAATCCACTAAAGATCTAATGTATGCAAGGTACATCATTTCGACAATTCTGACATTGGCACCATAGCCTGAGTGATAACCTGCAACAGCCTTGAGAGTTCGGAGCCTCTCTTTATACTGACGACAGAGTCTGAATACAACAGGACCATACAGTGGCACCTCAAGGCCAAGGTATTTGAATCTGTTTATATAGTCAAGCTGGGAGCCATCAGACTTGCCCATAAGGATGTTAAAAAGACTAGGACTGAGGACTCCTCCTTGTGGAGTCTCATTCTCATGCAAGTGGTAGTCCGACACTTATCCTTGCAACTTTACTCTGGCATACCTGTGACTTAAGTCATCTTGAATCCATCCTAGCATAGTTCCCGTTACACATTTTTTAACTAAGGTGTGTAAAATTGTTTGCGGGCTTGCAAGTTCGAATACTT